GCTGTCTTCTTGAATCTTTTCACGATCAGCGATCGATTTTGAGTGAAACAAGCAGTGTTGACAGCTTCTGCCCAGAATTGAGTAGGAAGATGGGATTCGCTGAACATTGATCGAGCAGCCTCAATGATTGTTCGATTTCTTCTTTCAGCAACCCCATTTTGCTGAGGAGTCCTCACTGAAGAAAAGTTGTAAGAGATTCCCTTGTCCTCAAAGAGGTTATCTATAGTATTGTTTTTGAATTCAGTGCCATGGTCACTTCTAATAGATCGTACCTTAAATGTTGTTGAGTACTTCTATTTTCTTGATGAACGAAATGATTTCTTCAGGTGCTTCATCTTTGGATCTAAGAAAGAAGACCCAAGTGTACCTGGCATACTCATCAACAATGAGCGTAAACTTCATTCCAGCTATTGATTGCACGTTGACTGGACCAAAGAGATCCATATGCAATAGTTGAAGAGGTGCAGTCACTGAAGAGATTTTCTTAGACTTCAAGCTAGCTCTTGTGTGTTTTCCTTTTTCACATGCTGAGCAAAGAGATTCCTTTGCAAAAGAGTACTGAGGAAGACCAGTGACAAGATCATTTCTTGACAGCTCGCTGAGTGTCTTGAAGTTGAGATGAGAAAGCCGTTTGTACCAAAGCCAGTTAACATCTGACGAGGCCTTAAAGAAGAAGCAGTTATTCTCAGTGAGAGAGGAATTCATATTGATGATATATATATTCTCTAGGCAAGAACCGGTTAGGAAAACCTTATCATCTTTGTCAAGAACATGACATGAATTCTTCAAGAATTTTACTGTGTAGTCTTTATCACACAGCTAACTATTGCTAAGAAGATTGTGCTTTAGTCCTTCAACATATGCAACACGTTTGAACGTTGTTACACCATTGGTTAATATACCAAAACCTTTAGTATATCCTTTTCCATTATTTCCAAAGGTTACAGAAGGTCCTCTTTCTTCCTTGAAATGAGTTAGCAGGGATTTGTCTCCAGTCATATGTCTTGAACATCCGCTATCAAGATACCATATACCTTTGACGTCCTGAGTAGTAGAAGAGGTAGATGGCTCAGAAGAAGAAGAAGAAGAAGAAGAAGAAGAACATGCTCCTGAAGACTCTTCATTTGCATCTTTGGCCATCAAGCAAAGATAGGCTGTATCTTCCTCGTCAGAAGATGATTCATCGAATGAGTCAGCCTAGTCATGCTTTTCAGTGACAAGGCCCTTAGCCTTTCGCTGGTTGTTCTTCACCTTCCTGTACTTCTCCTTCAGTTTTAAGTACTTTTCATCCTTAGTCCTGAAAGAGGATGGGTTTTTGGAAGATAGCGTTGCAGCTTTCTTCGATTTGCATTCACCTGCAAAATGTCCAGGTCGGTGACAATTGTAGCAGACAGCTGAAGCCTTGTCTATTCTTTCAGACTTTGGCTTTTCCCTGATGGACAGCTGAGGAGATTTGCGGTAGTTGCTTTTACTGGTCAACCTCCTGAAAGACTTAGTCAAGAGGGCCAAGGATTCATCAAAATCTGCTAGATCAGATTCTAGAATATCTTCAGAGATAGAAGAATCTATCTCTATAATAACAACAGGAGGAAAAGAAGAAATAAAAAGAGTAGAAGGGATTTCAGCTGAAGAAGCTTCAGAGATCAAAGCCAAAGGAGAGCTTTTCATTTCTCTGGAATCTTTGACTAGATTTCTCTTCAGTTGATGAGATTGCTCATGGTTAAGTAGAATCCCGTAGAGAGTATAGAGAGAGAGTGGACATGTCATTGGACATCTTAAGACACATGGAGAAGGTGTCCCAAGACTCAGGAAGACATTCCAGAAACTTAGTTAAAGTTTCAGAATTGGATTATTCCCTGCCTACAGCCCTTAGATCAATAAGAAGACAATTAAAACGTTGATGTACTTCAGACAGCGTTTCAGACTTTCCACAGAGAAAGCTTTCGTACTGCCTTACTAAATTGATCTTTCTAGTTTCTTGAACCTGAGTGTTTCCTTCATATTGAACACAAAGTGTGTCCCACATGGATTTAGAAGTCTTAAGCTTCATCACAAGAGTGATAAATCTCATCTAAAAGAGACATAGCTATTATAGACCTAGCGCGAGTGTCTATAACTATTTTCTTCTTATCTTCATCACTCCACTGATGAGGGAGCTTTGGAATCTGCCGTTCGGGAATCACGGCAGTTGTAGCTGTTGCTGGAACAGCCGGAGCAATAACAAATGGTACATATGGTCCATTTTCTTTGTAATGTAGAATTTCAGGATCCACACATTCAAGAAAGAGGGACATCCGGTTCTTCCGTACACTAAAGTTATCACGGACGAACCGGGGAGGATTGGCAAGAGAGCCATTGTCTTTTTGTGTGTGTGTGTGTGTGTGTGTGTTTGTTTGTAATTTGCAAACCCATTTAAAAACAGTAAAGTTATCTAGAGAAAGAGATAAACTAATGCAGAAAAACAGTTAAACAACTTAGAGAAGATAGAACATTGCTCTGATACCACTTGTTGGTCCCTTGAGGGTCTACAAGATAAGTAAAACAGTTTGTAGAAGGGGGGATGAATACAAACACAATATTTTCAAATTCAAAATGTATATTGATAAAGAAGATCAATACAAATTTTACAAGACTATTTGCGGAAAGATAAGGTAAGAAAACCTATCTAAACAATCTTTGGTTACACACAGAATCTTAGCAAATGAGAAAAGAAATGTTGTAAAGAAAAGTTCTTTTACATAAACTAGAATGTTCAAAGTAAGAATTAGGTTATGAGAGTGAGTTGCGCGCACTCTGCATGGAGAAGAAACACTTCTATTTATACACATTGCATTAAATGCTCATTTAAAGCAATATGGTAGGGTTAGAGTGTGTGTCAAGGCTTAAGAGGAAGGTTTGTCCTTTGCTACAGTGAATAGTACAAAAAAGACTATTCATGAGCAGACATCCTTACCTAAAGTTGGTGGACAAATAGAGTCAACTAGTCGGCTCCGTACCGTACCAACATTTAGAAAGGGTATGGGTTTGTCCTTTGTGTGCATAAGGACAAGACAACAACAATCGTGTTTGGCAAGCTTTCTTTGATCGCTTAATGCTGAAATAACCTGGAGGTCTCTTCAGTATTTGCTGAGGCTTGAGCAGTCTTTAAACATATGTAGACAAGCTTGTAATAACTGAGTACCGCTTCAGATCACGTACTCACCAGTCTCTAATTTTCAGTTTCAGTCTTCGACTTTGGCTGAAGGTTCTTTGGTGTGAGTGTTGTCTTCTTGAAGTATCGTTGTCTCTGATTGAATTACAATACAAGTTCTTCAACGATCACTGAACAGACTCAGTGATGATCGCTGAAACTGAAAAGACAGAAACATAAATACAACGTATAAGTGAAAAGAGATTATCATCAAATTATTGAGAGAAAGGATCAACAATAATTCAAAACATGATTTTGAAAGATGAACATGATTTATGTATTCGTCAATTTGATTTCACAGATGATGCTAATTTTAGTATATCTATGCCTCAAGTTTCTTGAAATCATATTCCTAAGTATGAGAATTATCTTTGAAGTCATGCAAGAATACGTAACAGGTTCCACAATAATCAACTACAAATGGACTCGGTTGAAGAGATTTGAGCCAATTTGAAGGAGAAGAAAGCAATGATTGATGTAATATTTTATTTTTATTTATATGTTATCTTTTTAATTCAATAAAAGTTGTGTATAATTTAATAAAGTATATATTAAATTAAACAATAAATTATAAAATAAATAAAATAATTATAATATATTATATTATTACATCATATATTAATTGTTTACTGAACTTAATGTTTATATTTTTATTAATATTAAATTAAAATAAAAAAATTATATATTATGTATTTATTAATTAAAAAGTAATTATAATAAGTAGCTAATGAATGTTATAGTAGAGGTCATTTTTGAAAGTGTAGGTGAATTGTCGATGTATAGATGATAATTACAAAATTTAATGTGGTACAACTAAAAAGTATAAATGAATTGCAAGTATGTGGATGGTCTTAGTTCCCATCGTCTTGGCCCACCAGACATTTGACCATTTTTATAACTTTAAGAGATAGATCAAAGTGCAAATAAACCGTCTCAGACACTATGATTATAAGACAAATATAGAATAAACTTTGGTATGTTTTTTCGATTAACCTCATGTTGGTCCCTAGAATTCATTTTAATACATATATGTTATTGCAGTTTGCATTTTTTTTCAGTTATATTCCCCACTAACGGAAAAACTAGCCAAGCGGTGTCGATCCCTTAACCGTTCCCTAGCTTAAAATGTGTAATTGATGTGTCGATGCAATTTAACCAATAGACGACCATCATCCCTTTTTCATATTAAACATCCGGTCCTAACCACTTAACCTTAACCGGTTATTTGATAACCTATCATTTAAAAATATCGTATCTGATAGGGACCGATAGGCTACTAGCCCTCGTTAACCAATCTTGGTCTATGGTGTACTTTGAATAGCTTATATGGTTACAAACAAGGTTGTTAACGAGGCGGGCTGAGTTTCATGTTATTTGAGCTCGGCTAGAAAAATATTATTAGGTTCAAGCTCGGGTAACTTCTTTAGTAGGCTTGAGCTCGAATATTTTTTTCAATGTTTGAACTCGGCCTCGTTACTTGTTTACGGGTTCGAACTCGAGATCGATTAGCTCGCTGATTGGCTCGACCTCGATAATTTATATAATTTAATATGTACGCTTTATGAACATATAAGCATGTTTGACTAGAAAAAGTATGCTCGAATGGCTCAGCTCCGCTCGACACGAAAAATTAATCGAGTTCTCTAACGAGCCGAGTCAAACAGTTTTAGTGTGTTCAAGATCGAGTCAAGCTCGATAATTATTATGCTCGTGCTCAAGTAGCTCATCGACTCGTAAACACCCATAGTTACAAGCTACTGTTACGGATTATGGGTGTAGGCATAGGAGAGCGTAAATCAGACTTTGAAATGGTATGTACAAAAATGTTGTTTATTAACAATTTAAGTTGTTTATTTAGAACAAATATTTCTAAGAGTCATGTAACTATAGCTGCACGTATCAACACAAATATTGAAATTTCGAAAGAGAAGATAAGCCGCCAAGAACCCTGAAAGCGTTAGATGTCTAAGGTGTCAATTGAGCCGGCTTTTTCATCTTCTGGACTCGAGTCACCTCCAGATATCATATTCATAAAGCTTTTTCCGGCTTGACCGACAGCGTGGGAAGTCTTCTTTGCGACTCCAGCAACGACTGGTTGTATTGAGATCACAGGAAGGCTTGCTCTTTCCTGAATCATTGCTGTTAAACACGAAACCGGAAGGAAGAATGTTTATCTCATCCTTCTAAAAACAAAGTACAATGGATATGCAGTAAGGCTATATTTTGAAATATAAAATATTTATATATGGCAAATTAAATTCACACACACTTCTCACCTTTGGTGAGTCTTGAACCCCTGACCTCCGGGAAGGTAGGTCACTCGATACGCTGGGACAATAGCCTCTTGGTATGTTTGGTAACCATAAAGCTAAGCTTTTATTTTAAAATCCTCGTTTGATAAGCTATAAACTAGCTTATTCTTGAAAAGCTACTTCAGGAAGCGTTTCAAAAAACTCCAGAGGTTCTTTTTATCATGTCCCTTGTATTTAACAATCAACATAATGCATCTTATATTTTCTTTTTCAAGTAATTTTACATCGTCTTCTAGCTTATCAGCTAACTTCTACCAAACGTGACTAATTTATCAGCAAGTGTGACAAATATAGCCTAAGTGAACAGGGAAAGAGTCTAATACCCATAGTTTTGTGTCGGGCCAATGAGCCAATTTGTCGGACTCCAGCTTCTGCTGCTTGCACAGCTTGAGCAGACTTGTTCACCCCATCAGAGATCTCCTGGCTGAATACAAAATTGATGATGTAAAATTTCATGATAATGCCTTCATGGCGTCATTTAGTTCTTTTTTATGAATGTGATATTCGGAACCCCTTCGGCCTTATTAGTCCACAGAATCCATATAAACCAGCCCTTCAACGTGCACCAGGCAAATTAAAATTTTAAGGCCTTTTGGTCTGCTAACATGGACCCGAAGGAGTTGATAGCACCTACTGGGATTCAGACCCTAAACGTGAAGCTTCATGAGGCACCAAGTCCAAGTGAATTACACTAAGCCAACCTTCTTAGAATATCATATAATCAATTGTTGAGTTGAAGAACACACTTGATGAAGTTATGGCAAATATAACAATTATTGATTGTTAAATGTACATTCCAAGCATGTTATACATGATTTTTCACTATATCACCCGGGCAACCATGAATAGCATGGAGTCATCGCAGGTGAACCTCCAAGGCCACAAGGGCTTTGGCAGTGGTAAGGAAGATAAGATTTCCACTACATACCCTTAAGGCTTAACCGGTGTGCCACAACCCAAGCGGTTATTTTTCTTTCAGTATACTTGATCTTCATATAATTGGTATAATCAAGGATACTCTAGGCTCATTATAAGTATCCTAGTTGCAATTCCAGAGTGTCTACTGTTTTGAGGTATGCTTTCATAATTCCTCTTTTGAGTTATAGGGAAGATTAGCATATCTAAAAACGGATCCCCCCCCCCCCCAAAAAAAAAAAGGGGAAACACATCAAGCTTATTGTCGAAGTTCTTAAGAATGAATAGAAGAAGCCATTTATATCTTAGAACCCTATTGCCTCCTATCTTTGATTAGGTCTAATACGTTGATGAAGTGATAAATGCAGATGACTAGATGAGAGATGTTCCATTCCGCATCTCCAATTAAAGTGGTATTTGATCTAAACGCACTACATAATAGGTGGAGTGCTGAGGGTGACAACTATTGCATATTTTTTTGGCAAAGTAAGAAGCAAGTTGAATGCCCAAGTACCAAGTGAACAAAATGATCACTAATAATACGAAACTAATGAAAACAATAGACTTGTTGACACTATGTAAAAGTAGGCTACCACATATCAGAGCATGATTTTGGCACTTGAGGTTACCAGCCATATACCTAAAATCTTTTATTCAAGCTGTTGAAAATAAGATAAAGAATAAGGCTTCCACTTTGTTAATAGAAAGTAACTTTGACAGATATTTACATACACAGGAATGCATATAAATACAAGAGATGGGAGATATATTCTCCAAATCAATCCCTAAGGTCTCTCTAACTTATTTCCTATATTTACAATCCCTATAATCATGCAATTTGGTTTCGTAACACATTTCAAGGTTAATTTCAAGTAAATGTCTAAAATAAAGAAATCCTGTGAGCAAATATCAATAAAATCAATAATTCATAATGATTACAATGGGCAACAAACAAGTATTTCTAGCTTGAAAGTATGCTACGCAATCGGATGTTGCGATTAACATGGACATCCTCAAAATGAAGTTGTTGTAATCTTTTTTGTAGAGCAATAGAAAATGACAACCAATAAGAAAGAAATAACTTTTAATACATAATCATATAAATGCTAACCTCAAGTCACTAAGCTCCAGGGTAAGATCACTGATCTCCATTCCAGAAAGCCTGATAGCAGCCATTGTACTAGGAAGTTCTTCACGAGCAGTATCTGCCAACTTTGCAAGAGAAATTGCAGCTCTACCCATTGCCTGTGTTATAAAGACATATTCACAACTTCTTTAGGAGGAAGTTCTGGATTTATGAAAGTAAAAAAGTCAAGTATATCCATGATTTAAATGCAGTACAGGAACCAATCCCTAGATAATCATGCAATAGTCAGCTATTGTCACTAAGAAGGGAGACAAGCACAAGTTTTATTTCATCAAAGGTGACCCCAATACACCAATGCTCATCCTCCGAAGTTGGTGAGGGAAGTATCTCTACACTGGTTTGCATTGCTCTTAGCAAAAAAACTTCCTGTGAGCATCCAATTAGAAATGAATAATCTGAGCAGTTGCTCAAAGGCTCACCCCCAAGAGTTGTATCTTATTAAGAAGCATAAATAAACCAAATCAAACCAGTATGTCCCACCCGGAGTTGGGGTAAGATGTACACAGACCTGACCACTACCCCAAAGAATAGAGCGGTTGTTTTTGTGAGGACCGCCAGTTTGTGAAAGAGAGAAAGGCAGCTATGAAAAGTTTGAAACAAAGGAGATCCGGTATTTTCTGAATCCTTATCTAAGGAAACACTAGTTAAGAGTAAGCAATAACATACAAATAGAAGCGGGTACAAAAAATCATAAGCAGGGTAAGGGAATTACACACCCCTAGTCCAATTCACTAAGCCTCTCCCACCTTCTACCTCTCCACCTCCCTTCCACCCGACTATGCTTAATAGATCACATCCTCTACCTCTCCATTGTAGAAATTCTTCTTATCTATTAAGAAGGATAGATAAGTTATTAGTTATGTAATCTGATTTTAAGGTTAAAGTTCTGATAAACCTCCTTTACGGTTCACATACAGAAGAAGGGACTAATTGTGTGTTGTTTAGTCTCGTTATAATAAATATAAAAAAAGGGGTAGTTTGGTACTTTTCCTATTCTGAATAAGGGAGTGTATAGCTTAAGTAGTTGAGAAAGTTTGTTAGAGCATTCATTCAGTTTTTTTGTCAATTGTAAGTGAGCGTAAGCTCTGTGGAAGAGACTCCAGAGTCCAGACCTCTCGAAAGTCTGGATATCCTTTGATTAGTTCGTTGCAATACAATCAGCCGACCAGTTTGTTCTAGTGTATATCAAATTGGTATCAGAGCTCGTTTCGGTCCAGCATGACGAATGTTACTATGCGAAGCGCAAACAAGCGAATTGAAGGTCTGGAGAGTAGCGTTGGTTCAATTTAAAGGAATTTGGAGCGTATTGTGCAACAAATTGAAGAATTGAGGAACGATTTTGTCAATAAATCGAACGCTATGAATTCGTCTGATGAGGAAGACGCATCAGAATCTGGTCAACGAGACAGAAATCGTAACAATCAGAATCAATTTTTAGCAGTTAAGGGGCGTAAATTGGAGATTCCGATCTTCGATGTCAAGGATCCAGACGAATGGATTTTAAGAGCAGAACAATATTTCACGTTGAATCAATTGAGTCAGGAGGAAAAAATCGATGTGTTGTTCATTTCATTTGAAGGCGATGCACTGAAGTGGTTTCAGTGGGAGCATAAACGTCATCCAATTACCAGATGGGAGGATTTGAAGCAATTATTGTTGAGGCAGTTCAGATATGTGGCAGCAGGATCGTTATGTGAGCAATTCCTAGCGGTAAGGCAAGATGGATCAATTGATGAATATAGAAGGCATTTTGTGGAGTTTGCGGCACCACTAGATGGAATTCCAGAGCAGATTTTCTTAAGCCGGTTCATTAATGGATTGGAGGAGTCTATTAAAGCAGAATTGAGGTTGATGAATCCATTGACATTGAGCGAAGCAATGGAGGTGGCCACAAAAATTGATTTGAAAAACAAGGTGTTAGCGAGAGGTAAAACCATTGTTACTAGCAAGAGAGCAAGTTCGTAAGTTCATCCTCGCTCTGATTCGGAAAGTAACTTTTCGTATAATTCTTCAAATAACACAGTGAGCACCGTTAATTCACCGATTTCAACGAATAAATCGGGATCTGAATTCCGCCGTCTATCCGATCAGGAAGTGCAGCAGCAGAGAGCGTTGGGTTTGTGTTACGCTGTGACGAAAAGTACGCTCCCGACCACAAGTGTAAAAAGAAGGAGATCAATGTTTTGTTAGTTCAGGAGGATTTGCCAGCTGATACAGAACCAGAGATGGAGGAAAAAGTTTTGAATGCAGCTGAAGTGAGCAACAAGGTGGAGGTACATTTAAATTTTGTCGTTGGTTTAACTAATCCTAAAACCATGAAGATGGAGGGAAGGATTGGTGAGCAGAAAGTAGTAGTGTTAGTTGACAGCGGTGCAACACACAACTTTATATCGAATGATTTAGTTAAATGACAGAATTTAAAAGTGGAAATCACTGGTGAATACACTATTACTCTAGGATCTGGAAATATAGAGAAAAGAGATGGGATTGGCAGAGGTATAACTCTGTTTTTACCAGAAACTGAAATCAGGGAAGATTTTCTTCCGTTGGGATTGGGTAATAGTGATGTGATTTTGAGGATGCAATGGTTGGAAACATTAGGAGCAACCTATATTAACTGGAAATTGCAAGTAATGAAGTTCACTTGCGGAGGAAAATCTGTCACATTAAGGAGAGATCCGTCATTGGGGCGATCGATGATATCGTTGAAAGCTATCGAATAAGTAATCAACCACGAAGGACAGGGTATGCTGGTTGAATTGGGCACTTGTTCAGCGTTATCGGGAGAGATAGCAGAATCCAATGTTATTTTGGATCCATTGTAAGGGAATTTGACTCAGTTTTCAATATGCCACAAGGGCTGCCACCGGAAAGGGGAAGAGAGCACAACGTTGTTTTAAAAGAAGGGACAGGAACAATCAATGTTCGACCGTACCGTTATCCACACTACCAAAAAGACGAGATTGAAAAATTGGTAAGGAGATGCTCGAGGCAGGAGTAATTCAGCCAAGTATGAGTCCATTTTCCAGTCCGGTGTTATTAGTTAAAAAAAAAGACGGAAGTTGGCGATTTTGTATCGATTATCGAGCTTTAAATAAGGTGACAAATGTTGACAAATTCCCAATTCCGGTGATTGAAGAGCTGTTAGATGAGTTGTATGGAGCAGCATAGTTTTCCAAACTCGATTGAAAATCGGGTTACCATCAGATTCGAATGAAGGAAGGAGACATTTACATAACGGCTTTCCGAACTCATCAAGGGCATTACGAGTTCTTGGTAATGCCCTTTGGATTGGTTAATGCTCCAGTGACGTTTCAAGGGTTGATGAATGAGATTTTTAAGAAATATTTGCGGAAGTTCGTTTTGGTTTTCTTTGAAGATATTTTAGTTTATAGCAAAACTCTTGAAGAACATCAAGTACACTTAAGGAAGGTGCCGGAGGTTCTTTTACAACATCAGCTGTTCGCATATAAGAAGAAATGCGAGTTTGGTCGTGATCGGCTGGGATATTTGGGTCATGTAATTTCAGAAAAAGGCGTAGAAGTTGCTCCGTCTAAAATCACAGCAGTGTTAGAGTGGGAAGAGTCTAAGACGATAACAGAATTGAGAGGATTCTTAGGGCTGTCTGGTTACTACCGAAAGTTTATAAAGGGCTATGGTATGTTAGCCAAACCACTCACCAACCTTCTTAAAAAGAACCAATTTCAGTGGACGAAGGAAGCTCAGTTAGCATTCGTTGAATTGAAGAAAATGCTATCGTCAACCCCGGTGTTAAGACTTCCTGATTTTTCTAAGGATTTCGTGGTCGAGACGGATGCTTCGGGTTACAGTTTAGGAGCAGTTCTTATGCAAGATGAACAGCCGATTGCATATTTTAGCCAAGCTTTGGGGCTGAGAACGAAGCAGAAATCCATTTATGAAAAAGAATTGATGGCCATTGTGTTGGCAATAAAGAAATGGAAACCATATTTGTTGGGAAAAAAATTGTAGTGTGTATGGATCAGCAGAGCCTTCGTTTTCTGCTGGAGCAACAAGTTGTGGAACCGGAATACCAAAAGTGGGTCAGCAAGCTGCTGGGCTATGATTTCTCCATCGTCTATAGACCGGGTAGTTCCAACCAAGCTGCAGACGCGCTGTCTCGCAAGATTGAATCAGTGGAATTGGCGAATATGGGGAGTCCTCAATGGAGAAATTGGGATGATCTTAAAAAGGAGATTGCTGATGATAGTTTCTTGAACCACATAAAGGAGGATCTAATATCGGGAAAAGCTTAGCATAAGGGGTTTGAGATTCAGCAGGAGTTATTATTGTATAAAGGACGTTTGGTTATTCCTCGTTTTTCTAAAATGATCCCGTTGATATTTGACGAATTTCACAGTTCTCCTATCGATGGACATAAGGGAGAGGATCGAACATATCAACGTATTTCATCTAAAGTTTTTTGGATTGGGATGAAGAAGGATATAATTGATATCTATACTATCTTATAAACCATATTTGAGAAAAGTCTTAAAAACAACCTTAAATGCATAAGGTACTATCTTTTAATGCACAAAGTCTTACAAGTTCGATTTCGATAGAGATTACTTCTCAATACGATTTCTTTCAAATTCATTAAAATTTCATGTACAGATTCTTGAATACCCATTATGGTAGAATATTCGTGTGATATTTTCTCAGATTTTGCTCGTGTGATACATGTTCCTTCTATTTCTTCAAGCAAAGCTCTTCGCATCGCAATGCCTATTGTGTAAAGTCTTAAAAACAACTTCTAATGCATTATGTACCGCTGATTTATGCATAAAATCTTAGAATCTTTTTAAGTACAACCTTATAAACATGATGTATAATCTGTAAATACTAAACTTTGTTTGCCTTCCCCAGACGACTCCTCGTGTAAAGCGACCCCCATGGACAATTCATATGAATCCAAAATCCCCATACGACAATTCAGTCTGATCATTCTCCAATGGTCCTATACATTCTTCCATTTTGCTTTATCTTCATCTCTGGTCATCCATTGCTTTATCTGAGGTAAAGGGTTTATCGATTTCAAACAATCAATTTTGATGTTCTTCTTTATTCTGATCATCTCTCC